TCATTTCATACCATACCTCAGCTCAAAAGGTAGTTTGAGTACAAAGATGTGTAAGTTCTATTAAGAGCTAAGTTGTTTTTCTTAAAATTGTCACTGTTAGTAAGCAGAACAACCAGAAAAGAACCTAAGATTATTTCACTGGTGCAGATGGAATAGATATTTGGATTAGGAAATTATGTTTGTGAGAAATCAGTTTTAATAATGTCTATAATTCACCTTTCCCCCCCCTCAAAAATCAGAAGAAATGTTTAGGATGAAATCATTTAAGTTGTCTTTGAGAATAAAATTGGAATCGTCTGTTAAAAGTGTCCTGTGGCTAAGCATGGACTGTAGCTCCAGCTGCTCGAGAGGTGGGAGAATCAGAAGTCTGCAGCCAGCCTGGGCTATAGAGCAAGAGTCTGTGTTCAAATGGAGACACCAACAAAGGACGTCGTAGATAACCTTAAATTTTAAATTTCTATAGAGTGGGGGGGGGGGACCTGCAAGCTGTGTGCACATGTCTGTCAGAGGACAGCTTTGCAGAGTTAGCTCTCCCTTCCGCCCTCACATGGGTTCTGGGTTTCAGACTCAGGTTGTCAGGTTTCCATAGCGAGTGCCTCTACCTACTGCATTTTGGAACTCTGAGTACTCTTTAACACTCTTCAGTTCCAAATGTGAAGAGTGTTTGTGTACATATGAGTTATAAAATAAAATAGCCTCAGAATTTTTTTGATTATTTTAATTTTTAATTTACTTGAAGTCAATGTAAATATTTCATTTTTTGGATATAAATTAATCATAATTCCTTTTGCATACATTTTTAAGTTCCATTCATATTCCCTTAAAACATCTTCTATATAATTTTCTTACAGAAAGGAATAATTATCTCTCTTTAGTTACATTTGGCATTTTTGGGGGATAACAATAAAAATGAACTAGCTTATAAAATCTTTGGTGTTATTAACCATTATAATAAACCTACATTTAGAAATTCCTACTTCATTTTTCTCAAACAAAGGACCTTTACTCCTTTTGCCATCTAAAAATTATCTTAAACTGTGACTGGAATAAGTAACATTTTCCAAACTTACATTTTCATATCTTCTCCATTTTCACCTTTATTTATTTAATAATTTTATCTTGTAATAGAGATTCATTCAGTTCATTAAAAATACATTTGGGGGGCTTAAGAGATGGATCAGTGGTTGAGAACACTGGCTACTCTTCCAAAGGACCCACGTTCAATTCCCAGCACTCACAAGGATTCTCACAACCATTTCTAGCTCCAGTTCCAGGGGATTGGAAGCCCTCTTCTGGCCCACACAGCAATTGGCAAAAAAAAAAAAAAAAAAAAAAAAAAAAACCAGTAGTACACATACATACATAATTGCAGACAAAATACATATAGAATAAACTTTTTTTAATTTAAGAAAAAATAACCAAAAAGATTTATTGTCTGCTTCATACAAGGTACTTTCCCAGTGTTAAGTATTTAACAGTGGCCAGACAAAAATCAGTGTCACTGTGGAATATACAGCTAGGGAGACAAGGTAATTGTAACTTGTTAAAAGCAATTTTCTAAAAGAAACAGAATGTAGGGGGTGTTGAGATTTGTGGCGGGCTGACGCGGAAGTCTGCAGTGAAAAGTCTCTGAAGAAGTAAGATGTGCCTTTCAGGTGTCGGGGAAACCCAGGGCCAGTCCCACAGTTGTGGGGAGCCGGGGCTCAGTCCGAGAGTTACACAATGGAAAATGCCAAAGACATTAAGGAAAGGATCGTGTAATAAATGCTTGGCCTATATAGTCTTTCTTTTCTATTTAATTTCCTGAAGAATAATCCTGCCTTTCTTGCTCTGCCCAAAATAACATGCTCTTCTTTTTATGAATTTAATGAGTAATTTAGACAGTCCGGCTGCCTTTAAAGCAACCACATGTATCATTTAACCAGAGTTTGTTGTTACAGGGAAGCTCTCACTCCCCTTTTCAATGCCACTTAATCTCATGGTTTGGCATCTGCTCAGCCCCTGACTGCTGTCCTGGTAGTGACTAATGGTTCAGATGCCACTGCTGCTTTATGAATACTCTTCTCTCTCGCCGTTTCTCAGTTTCCCTGCAGATTTCCACTGATAAATCGCCACTGTTAAACCATTAACTTCCATCAGCATATTTTCACAAGTAAAACCAATTAAAAACAAAAGTAAATGACCTTGAGTTTATTAATTCCTTGTGTATTCTAGAGTGTATTTGCTGTGGCTCTTTGTTCAGCCAAAGTAAATTATTTGCCTTCTTTGAAATGACCAAGAATCTAAACAAATAAATTAAACATTGTTGGGAGATGGCAGAAAACATTCAGTCAAGTTGATTCTAACAAACTGAGTTAGAATTTACTGCTTATGTAAAAGAATGTTTGAAACCAGAAGTCTCATTTCTTAGCCTCTCCCTTTAAACAGTTGCATACTTTCTGAACTTCAGTTTCCTCTTATGCAAATGGGGATTTAATGGCTACTTCAGAGTCTCACTATCATTGTTTTGAGAATGTAATAGAATAATATTTGAGAATGTGCTAAAAAAAAATTGGTGCCACTGAGTGTTCCTTATTCTATTAGAATACCTATGTGTCGCTTTTACATTTTTTATAAAACTTAAATATTACTGAAGTTTTTTATGCCTGGGTAACTGCCTTTTGGACTAAAGGTCCCTGTAGTGTTTCTTTTTGAAGTGGCTTCTACAATGTAAATGGACAAGTCTTGGCTGCTACCCAGTAGTGCCATGGTGATTTTACTCTGTTGTCATAACCTCTGGCATGCACCTCAATAGGAATTGATTTGCCCTTACTTTTGATTACAGCTGTTAGCAGCTGGGAGTAGGCTTGGTTGGCACATTTGCACACAGGAGCACCTGTGGCCACAGTGTGCAAAGCACCGGGTTAGGAGAAACGGTTGTATTGGCTCATGGTCATGGCTGCAGAGCAACAGGAGCTTTGAGGAGATGGGAAGAAGTGTGGCTAGGTGTGGGAGTCAGGCACCTGTGGGAATTCCATTTTCAAACTATAAAGATTTGTATGCTACTTTTTTTAAGCGTGCATACTGTTTGGTTTTGGTTGTGTTGTCTTATGTGGTTGTGAAGTTTAAATTTTACCACTGGTCCAATTTTTTGCATATATATATTATTTTACCATTTATTACAGATATTTGCCTGAGAGCTTTAAACCCTTGGATTTAAGGCACAGAATGAAGTCATATTTATAGATATCCATTAGTTATGAGTTTTGTTCATTTATTTGAATTATAAGGGCTGTTTTCAGAATAAAGCACTAAGAATTAGTTTGTTTTTGCATATCTATTTTCATTTTTCTCCATTATAGTAATATACTGTTACAAGCTGATCTAAATACATGGGCTCACATTAATGTTTACTGATGTGTAAGATACTGAGTGAGAGACAACAACTAGAGCTGTGGGATTACTAATCACGACGCCATGACTAAATAAACATTTCCCTAAATATTACGGTTAAGTCAGGTTTAATGTCATCTAATAAAAAATAAGAGGTGACATGTACAAAGGGGACTTTCTAAGTGTTTTGGTTACCATTGTTGGCAAGAGCCAGAGTTTTTGCCTGTATAATTTGGAGTATCTTTCTAAAGTTTGCATAATTTCACTTGATCACAATATCTTTTTTAAAGGAATTCTTTTTTGTTTATTAAAATGTGTTTCATATTCCATGTGAAATATGTGTGTGGAAAATACAGAACATGAGCTGATGCTCTGCAGACTTTAAAAGAGCCTGAAGCCCTTGTCTCTGATGCTGTTGCAGGATCGTAAACCGTGGAATCACAGTGTCAGTGTCTGACTTATGTCATTCAGTCATCCAGTTTTGTGGGTTTTGTTTTGTTTTGCATTTTCTTTTGTGTTGTCTTCAGCCATCATTTGTCTTATCATCTTCAATTCTAGAGCAACCTGACAGCAGTAATGATGCTACTGAAGTGGGCATCCTTGTCATCCCTGAGATTAGTGTCACAAATGTGTCCGGAGAGAGAACCGGGAATGGGGAAAAAGGCAGAGCACTAGGAGACATTGATGCCCAGCATATGCAGGGCGTGCAGGAAACAGCCACAGACCCTAGAAGTGAGAGCAAAGGCTTGCCTGAGCTCAGGAGGCAGAAATCTGTAAGAAAAATGATGGAGGATGGAATGGCCACTGCTGGCAGAGTGCAGTTTTAGCAGAGCACTTTATAGCTGCACCCCAAGGTATCTTGAGGCAAGGGCACCGGTGCATGCTAAGCAACAGTTGCACAGTCACAGACGATCTGCATGTCATCTAATAAAGTGCATGAATTATGCATTGTAATTTCTCAATGACTTTTAATGCTCTTTGGAATGATCATCCCTATGTGGTCTTTGAGGAATTTGTTAGAGAAACTGAGGCAGAAAATTGCTTCTGACATAATTTTCTGCTTAAGTTTTGAAACTAAAATGATTTTTGCCATCTTTTACATGGAGGGCAATGTGTATAGAATTTTAGCAAGTTTTGAACTTGTGATATTTACAGTGTATATATATATATTTTTTTTTAATTCTTTGAGTATTTGGAATGGAGAATACAACCTCCAAAAAACAAAAACAAAAACCACAACCTCTTTAAATGTTCTCCTGTTTAACTTAAGTTCCTTGGTAGGAGCTGTGGTAGAGAGGTCACCCCCAGTTTATAACACCTGATAGTTTTTCTAATTGCTTCTGCTCTTTGCATGCATAATAGGAGAACTCTTTCTAAAAATATAGTGGGAGTAGCTTACAGCATGCTTTTGAATTAATAATACTCTAAATCACTGCCATTTAATTACAATGAACTGGTTTTCCTTGACATTCATAAAATGTTTCAATTTATCCTTTGATTTTGTTCTATAATCTATTGCTTTAAGAAATTCTGCTAAGGTGTTGATTTGAATGTAATTGACTTGGTATTCTTTTGAAAGTTGCTTAAGATACTTAATGTTAATTAACCTTTGTCGTTTCTTTGTTTAGGAGATACAGAATTCACAGGTCAAGAAGAACTGATGGAGATAACTGAAGTTGACGAGGGATTTTATTCCAGGGCTGCGTCTAGTACCAGCCAGTCGGGTCTATCAAACAGTAGTCACAATTGTAGTAACAAGACAAGTGTAGGGAAGAACCAGAGACGGTCGGGAGTAAGCAAAGCTGGAGCAAAAGAGAGAGAGACTGCAGGGGAGTCTTGCAGAGATCACTTTGCTCGCAAACAAACCCAGAGAGCCCAGAGCGAGAACCTTGAGCTTCTCTCTCTGAAGAGACTGACCTTGACCTCCAGCCAGTCCCTGCCCAAGCCCAGCAGCCAAGGCTTGGCTAAGACTGCGGCCACTGTGTTTAGTAAGTCCTTTGAACAGGTCAGTGGTGTCCCAGTCCCACGCAGCCCCTCTCCTGCCGTCGGCTGTGTTGCTGGGGCAGATGCCCATAGATTTTCTGCTTGTAGTCTCCAAGAAGAAAAGCTCACTTACGTATCAGAAAGGACCGAGCTTGCAATGAAGTATCAAGCAGGTCCTCAAGGAACCCCCAGTATTAGCATCACTTTGTCCGCAGATTAACTTGTAACGTATTTTTCTCCTGTAAGCAGTGGAGCTGGGAAGATGGCTTTGCTCCTTTATGAGAGTACGGAGTCCTCATGCCTGGTCCTGGCAGGAGCCTGTGTCTCGAGGTCCGAAGGCTCCTTTGACTATGAAGGGAACAATGTCTAGTTTGCAGTTAGCTAAGACGTGGTCTTGTTATCTCCTGGGTGCCCTTTTCCCTTGGTTTGAGTTCCTTATTATTTTCTTCCTCTTTCCTGTTAGTTGTTATTGTTGCTTTAAGACTGTCAGTGTCACAATAAATTTTTGCAGTTGTCTGAGTTGGTTACATCCTCGGTGAGGTTGTTTTTAATACCTCGTGTTTTAGTGTCTGCGTGTTTGCCCTGAGAAGTCAGAGAGTCTCTGTGTGAGAGGACCCGGCTGTGGAGCCTGGACAGAGGAGAGGCCATGAAGCCACGACAACAAACAGGCGTGAGAGAAAACAAAAGCAATGAGAGCATTGAGGATGCCAAGTGCCAGTAAAAGCTCTGTGACCACATCATCCTTAAGATGAGGACAGTTGGCTCACACGCTGCGAGTTGCCTGGCAGGACACTTGCAAAGGGAAGGTGGGAGGATTTCTGTTGGTGTCCTTGGAACATTAAACAGCAATACTGAGATTGCTGGTAGATAAAATGTTTTCAAGTGTTTGATCTGGATTCCACGGGTGAAAGTCCCTTTGGGTTTCTAAAGTGTAACCAGCCATGAAGCTGATTGACTCTGCTGCTCGACTTTGGAAATCCTAGTTAGTTTGTATTCAGAGTTCAGAGCTCGAGTCACAGAAGACTTCCTGGAAACCACTGTAAATCTTACAACACAACTCCCAGGATACCAGTGTCAAGCATTTAATAGTGAATTGTCTGCAAATGAAGGAAATAGATAATTTTTCATCTACAAAAATGTGATAAAAAGAAAATGAAGATAGTGAATATGGACAAAGAAAATTTGTGCGTTAATTTAGGATTGCTTGTGTTTGTCTTCTTAAATTTAGCATAAGAAAAGAAGAATGTACTTCTTGTTTGTGAGCTTCCAATGTTCTTGTCATGATGTAAAAAGAATAATTCAGTTGCACACTCACCCCTACCAGTCAAGTACTTAGACTAAGAAAGGCTAAGCAAATGTGTCTGTAGCTCTTGAGAGCTCTGTGACTCTGGACAGACTCAAAGGCTCAGTGCCTGTCCTGTCTGCTTGGTTTGCCAGTCTAGGAAGCCGGTGTGCTTGAGTAGTGATTTGTGGTGGCAGGAAGCAAGGTTGATGGGGAAGACCTAGGAAACTGACCACTTCTTGGTTCCACTGACTCTTAATACACCAAGGTCTCCTTATTCGTGGTCCCTAGCTGTGGTCACAAGAATATGCTTGTTTCTCTTTTGAACCTGCACATGTTGTAGAGTGCAACGCATTTACGATTGAGATAGATAAAGTTTTAAATGCTTACCTACCAGTTTAAGCCTAGTTATCTAAGACCTGAGGGTTGTTTTTGTTTTTGTTTTTTTGCATACATGAGTTTAACATTTTAGTTTCAGTAACAGAATGAACTGTTGGCTTAAATTGTTCTCAAAAGTTATAAGGTAACTAGACTGTAAAATTGATATTGGAATGATTTAATAGTAGTCTTATGTACAGTTGAAAATGTTTGTAAAATGTCACTGTGAATTCCTGTTGTATTTTTGTAATTCTTTAACGAAGAATTTTTCTTACACAGTTACTAACAGTATTGATAATATTAAGAAGAAATTGAAAAGATTGTCATTAGGCAAGTTGAGGTGCTTGTTTATGCATAGAATAAGTTTAAAGAAACATTATCTGGCATAATGAAAGATCAGGATAATGTTCAGCTATATAATGAAACCTCATTTTGATATTGTTCAAGACTTTTGCTACCATTGGTGTTACCTGGTATCTTAATAAAGCTTCACAATTTTAGGGGGCAGACCTAGTAAATCAAAACTGGTATTTTAACAAGGTCCCCAGGGACACTTGTGTGCATTCGTCTTTGTGAAGACAGTTTCAGAGTGCTAATTACTTATTTAATACGCAGGAGTCTCAGTGATCTCACGGTCCTCAAGCACAGATATTAGATACTAGGTTGTCATAATTGTCACTGCTTTTGACAGCTAATTCACTTTTTAATAACATGACTTGTTACACCTCATTTTAAGTTCCTAGTCCCCACTTATTTCTGTAATAAAAATGTAGTATCTTCTGCTTCTCTTGCTGACTGTGAATGAAACCAGAGCCTTGGATGCTGCAGGCTTTAAGTGGAAAAGACCCTGACTTTGTTCTTGACCTCTTACATGATGCACAAAATATTTACATGTGTTCATTCTCTTTTACGAAATCTGCAACAGCTTACACCATGGAGTGAATCTGAATTTTTGCTCCAGATGATTTACACCGATTTATTCTCTAGACTATGGAGTTATATTAACAATAAATTCTTTTATACTGCTTTTGATACTATTTCAAGTAAGGATTGTGTACATTGAAGGCTTTTCATAACAGTTGTAAAAGTCGGATGATATTAACTATGGCAACAATTGTTATACTCAAAACTCTTTCCCTACTCATCTTTCAAATGTGAAAAGTTGGGTGGCTTTGTGGGTCACTTTCCTATAAAGATGTTAAGTGTAGACATTTTGTAGATCTGGAGTAACGGCTTTTACCAAGAAGATTCCACACAAAACTGGGCCGGGCACCCCATAGTTCAGATCTAGGATGGGTTCTTGAATTAACCTGACCCTTGCATTCTTAAAGCCATGCTGCCTGGGCACTCCTATGAAGCTGTGCCCAGCACTAGCCTCTGAACCCAAGAGAGAAGAAAAGTAGACTTTCCCAAGGGTTCTGCTTCCCACCCAGGAGCCTCCCTTCCTCTCCTGGGAGCCTCCAGGGAGCACCCTGGGGTCACTGGGATGCTGCCTGAACTATCCATCTCCGTAGTACCAAAGAGCAGGGAACATTTCAATGTCCTTTCAATTGTAAAGCAACCACTCTGCAAATAATACTTAGATGTAAGGGAGACTTATCTTTAAATCAAAAAGGATGCAAAAGATCCCAGTTTACAGGGATTTTTGCCCATTTTGGGAAGTCTTAACTAAAATGTTGAATGGTAAATTATGGAGGAAAGTGTTTACTCTGAAACCTGATTTTAGGCAAAGAGTTGAAGTAAGGCAGCTTAATGTTTAGATATATAGGCACATTAAGCATCCATACAGGAAAGCACAGTAAGGAAGCATATGATAAATATTATAACAGAAAAATATTTAGAAAACACAATGTTGAGTACTAAGGCATTGTAGATAGAAACTAACGTACAGTGTTGTCTTCCCAGTTAGTCCCTTAGTGAACACAAGTTCATACTTGCAGGCTTGCTGCTGAGTGCTGACACTGTGGGCACTGACATGTGTGCTTAACACTGCTCAAGGCTTACCAGAGTGTGCAGGGTGCTCGTCTCTGCACGCTGCCGCTTGCACACATCCAGAAAGACTTAAGCGTGAACAATTTGAAGATGGTTTTGTGTTTTACAGTAGAGTGCTAGTGGACATGGGTCTCAATTGTGTTTTTTTTCTCCTCTCCCCCATACTGTCTGTTGTTGGAGCTGACTGTGCAGCCCTGACCTTCCCTTCTGATCGTGTGGTTGTGCTAAATTCTTCTCACAGACACGCTTGCTTGTCATTGTATTCCTAGAGTTTACATTCCTAAGAATAAACATGGCTTTGGATATTTTTATGTGCTCTCTATGTTTTTAGGGTATGAAATAAACTGGAGTTGAGTTTTTGGAAGTTTCGTACATTTGTATAAACATTCTCCACATGCAGCACTTTATACATCGTGTTTCCTCTTGTTTTGTTGAAATAAAAACTAAAAACTGATTTTCCAGATCATGTTATTCTTTAAAAAGTGCTATAAGAGTTTGTGAACTTGACAGTGGGGGAGACAAACCTAAGTTGGGCGAGCCGAGCCCCTGGGAGCTGCTGGGGTTAGCGGGCCGATGGCTCTCACTCCTGGCTTTTTGTCTCAGGATGAGGAAGTGGGGTCCTCATTAGCATCCATCCAAAGATGAGCTCCGGGCCCTTGAGGCGGTGGCTGATTTGTTATGCCAGAAGGAAGCGCGTGGATAGGATTGCCTTTAACTTTAGTGAGTTGGTCTCTGAGTGCAGACAGTTGCCTCTAGGCCTGAGCACATGCCTTCAGGTGTGGTGGGCAGAGCACAGGTGGGTTGCTGCTGGCTTCTGGATGGTAGGACACATCACAGTATTTTCATTTCTTGGCTGCAGGAGATCACAGTGCCATTCCCGATCTGCATTGTGAATACTGAAACAAACCCCATTAAAAAGGAACCATTCCAATGGACAGATGATTGTATATGTGAGTCATTCCAGCTGACCTAAGGAAAAGTGGGTCAGGAAATACTTCCTTAGCTACTCTTAGAAGCCGGCTTGTGGAACCAGCGCCTGACAGTTTAAAGACTTGTAACTGTACCTTGTGAAATGTGTACTCTCCTAGTGACTCTAGAGCCCCTGACATGTAGCTGGCTCCCCTAGTAGAGTCCGACTTCGTTAATATCTGCATACCTATTTTATAATCACTAATAAGGCCTTTTGGATTATTACTGTAGTTGTAATAGCCGATTCGTCACTTAAGTACTCAAAGCAGTCGTGAAAAGTGAGCAGTACCCCATTTTACAAAAGAGGAAACTGAAGCATTCTGGGAACAGGTGCCTTGCCCCGAGGTCACCAAGTGCTAGGTGGCCACGCCCAACCTTGAACACAAGCTTCAAGGCCTTACAGCTTTGTTATTGCTTAATAAAAGGATCCTAAGTCCTATCAAATGGACATGTATTTAAAATTATTTACTCCATCTTAAAGTAAAATGAAATTTTCATGAAACTAAGTGATGCTATATTTTGTACAATATAAGATAATTGTGTTTCATTGGAAATCAGAGTGTTAGTTATTGCTGTATTAGAAATAGGCTAATTCAAATTAAATGCTTCCTTAGCTTTTCAGAGTGATAAGTTTGGAGCTGGTATTTGTATTTATCTGGAGAAATCATTAGTGCCTGAGACAATTGGGAATGTAAAAAACTGCTGCAAATGAACCAGTGAGCAACTCAGCAGAATCTGACGTAGCAATCCTACCCTTTGACATAGTAATCTACCTTATGTCTGCATTAAATGTGACACAAATGTGTAAACGCAAGATACTTATTGAAGCATTGTTTGTAATAGGAAAAAAGCTAAATGTCATTTAGTACATGGAGTGGAATATGATGTAGCCATTAAAAAAGTGTATCTTGGGGCATGGTGAAAAAAATGTGAATCTGTATATGGTGTGTACAGCAGGAGCCCGTTTCATTATATGTATGTTGAATAGTTAATGTTTGTGTATATTTTATGTATATTATATGTAGTACACATACAGTATGCATGAAAGAGCATTACGTGGTTTAAACACAGGCTCGGGGCTCAAGAAATGGATCAGCAGTTAGAAGGTTAAGAAGAGTGCTTGCTGGTCTTCTGGAGGACCCAAGTTCAGTTCCCATTGCTGGTCTTCTGGAGGACCCAAGTTCAGTTCCCATTGCTGGTCTTCTGGAGGACCCAAGTTCAGTTCCTATTGCTGGTCTTCTGGAGGACCCAAGTTCAATTCCCAGCACCCATATCCAGTGGCTCGACTAACTCCAATTCCAAGGGATCCAGTGCCCCCTTATGGTCTCTATGGACACCCAAACACAAACAGCACATACTCATACAGATGACCACACACACCATGCACCACACACATATAAGTAAGTTCTTAACTAACAACAACCTACGTCGTGAAAAACTGATACTCTAAAATTGGAGATTCTTGGGGGTTGTGCTAGTTTCCAAGAATCATAATCACTCTGTGTGAAACTTGGAAATCTGTATTTCTAGTAAGTTCTTCAACTTAACACAAGGTTTGTCCCAGTAACTACCAGCAGTGGATTAGGTATTTGGTGGTGGTTTCTCAAAGAGATCTGGTATTTTCAGTGGGTCTTCCCAAAGATTGGTTGTCAGTGACATCACTGACAGAGACCTATAGTGAAAGACAAACTGTTCTGACATTGAAACAAAACAAAACAAAACCAAAAACTACTTCCTGTAGAGAGTACATGCCCATCAAGTCAACAGTCTCTTTTAAATCATCTTTGCTGTCAACAAAACAAAACTAAACAGAGCTTACTTTGCGAAGGTTGGCATCTCTGGGTGCATCTGCAGCATGGAGTAAGGTACTTGCAGAACTTGTGCAAATAAGCATCTCTATCGTGAGGGAGGGGTTGGGTTTGGAATAGCCAACATTTAGGATTCATGGTGGCAATGGGGGGGGGCAGAAAGAGCCTTGCCGAGTCAGCCACTGAGAAGCATCTGCTAGGATTTGCACGTTATTGTTTCCAGTCTGTTTAGAGCAAAGAAAGAAATGGAGACACTTCATGCTTATTTCACTCACTCACATTCTGCTCTTTCCTGGACATGGATTTCCTGGAACCAGTAACTAAGCGGGGTTGAAAGGGGCAGGCCATCCTCTGTAGGCCATTCTGACACTGCCCTTTGTAGCTGCAGTTCACGGGCTTGAATTCTTGTTGTTTTACAAGGGTGGTAAGTCAGTGTGTAGGCAGTGTGTGTCCATGTGCCTTTACTGACTTCTCAGGGTTACCCTGAAGCTCTATCTTCACAGTTTGTTCTGAAGCATCTTGACCCTGACAGCCCTTGGGCCTAACTGGTTACTCTAGTAGGGTCACTACATTGTGCTGTGCTTGTGTTTTCCCTAGTGAGACTTCAGTACATACTGCACCATTATAGTAAAGATGCGCTTTACTAGGTGGACTCTAGTCCAGGGAGGCAGCAGAAACACATTGCTTCTTGTGCACTCAAGGGAAGTCGGAAAACCAATTCCCTCCCATTTGTCTGCATGGAGAAGACTGTAAAATGTGACTACTGTGATTCTTATGCGTGTTTCTGCGTAAGTATGCTGCAAAATGTGTTTCTTTTTCCTCAGAGCTGTAACGGAATGGGATGATTTTTCTACACTAGTGTTTCCTATTAACCCTTTTGTTGCTGCTTTCTACCATATCGTTCTCTCCTGTGTATCTGGTGCTCTTGAGTGATAATGGAATGACAAAATAGGAAGATCAGACTTCCATATTACACCTTCTTCTTCCCTTGCTAGCTATGGCTGTGGCTGTGGCTGTGGCTGCCCACTGCTGTGCAATGCCCTGGCCATCCGAGCACTCATCAGAACGCTCTTGCTAGCTGTGGCTGTGGCTGTGGCTGTTGCTGCCCACTGCTGTGCAATGCCCTGGCCATCCGAGCTCTCATCTGAACTCTCTTGCTTACTGTTAACCAGCACCTTTCTACTCCTGCCCCTCCCATGGTGCCACACAACTGTTGATCACAGTTTTCTCCCTCCTTTCATTTAAAAAGAACCCCCTACCACATATGCACCACTCTCTCTCCTGTTGTAATCCCACACTAGTTCAGAATCCTGTGTCGATAATTTCTTCTTTCCCCAAGCCTTTATGTGCATCAATCAAGTTGACATTCATAAGACCTTTGAAAGGAGAAAAACAGCCAGAAAGAAAGCCATGAGCTGCACCTGCAATGGGGAATGATGCACTTTGAGTTCACCAAAGAGGAAAAACCGTACAGCAATACTGCACAACGCACTGGGATAGAATGAAGCTATGGTGTTAAATCCCCTTCAGAAGTGGAGCCAGACCAGGAATGCAAGCCATCCTGAGGTGCAGATCTGCACCCTCTACACCCATCCACATGCTTGGGGACATGGAAGGAACAAGACTAGAGGTTGTGTGATAGAAATTTGGGAGCTAGAGGTATGATTGGACTTCTTATAATGGGCTCATAAGAATAATTGTTTGCCATAAATGCACAGGCCCCATTGTGAAGGAGGCCCTTAACAAGCCCACAATCAAGACAAGGGTGGGTGGGGTGTCCGTAGTGCTCTTGGTATCCCTGTCCAGTCAGCAGACAACCGCGAGGGAAGAGCACTGGCTACCCTGGATCAAGGCTGTGCACAAACGTCAGCAACATGGAAGGCGTTCACCAATAGCACCCTCTCAGAGAGGCAGCTCTGTCTTCCCTGAGAACATCATCACTCTGAGACTGGACTTAGGTTTGCTTTCCCCAAGTACTGGGGCTTCTGTGTGCAATACTAGATATCCTGTTTACCACCTTGGTTTTCTCCTAAGGTTCCTGAAGAACCTCACCTCGAAATACCCAGAGAGAGCCGGAGTTGCATTTCTAGTAACAGCACAACAGACAATTATACTTCTCGTTGCTGTGACGCGGCACACGCGAGGAGAGAAGGTTCGTGTCGGCTCCAGCGTGAAGGTAGAGGCCGTCCATCAGGGAAGAGTTGCTGTGCATCACAAGTGAGAAGTCACGTGGCATCTGCAGCCAAGGAGGAGAAAGAGGGATGCTGGTGCCCCCCTCAACTTCTCTCTCTTATTCGGTCTGACACCCCAGCCAACAGAATGGTGCCACACATGCAGGGTGGGCCTTCCCCACCCGCTACTTCTTTATAGAAACACCTTCACAGACACACAGAAGTGTGTTTCCATGGTGACTCTTATTCCTGTCAAGTTGACAGTGGCAATCAGAGTAATTAACATCAAATGCCCCATTAGATAATAAGAACTTAGGGAAAGACTTTTCTACATTTATTTATTAACTTCCTGCGCGCGTGCACACCTGCACACCCGTGAGTGTCATGAGCTTTTGTGGAGGACAGATGACCGTGTTCAGGAGCCGGAGGAGCTGGTTCTCTTCCACCCTGTGAGTCCTGAGGATCAAGTGCCACTTGGACTCGGCAGCTGGTGTCTCCTGCACTCA